AGGGGAGGGGAGGAAAAGGGATTTACAGGGAAAAGCTAATCATGCTGTATCCCTAATGTCACACGCCCCTTGCCCACCCGGGAGACTTTCTATGAGGAAAGGCAGACAAACAGGACCACAAAGGCCAGTGGGGAATCATTACCAAGGACAGTCAGCTGTGGAGGGGGAAGGAGGTATCCATCTTGTCTGTTTAATGGGATGACTCTACCTTCTAAGCATCTGTTTCTCTTCCTCCCCAGCTGCCTCACTGACTCCCTTCCTAGCTGCCAACAGGATGAGGTTCCTCCAACCGTGAGCCCACGCACTAGATCCGTCCAGAGGGGCAGTTCTGGGTGAAGAAGGGCCAGCGCAAGATCCTAGGATCTTGGAGGAGAAAAGGCAATGGTAACTTCCTTCCTTGATTTTCAACTGGCAGAACAAAGTGTTATTTCCAAAAAGCCAGAGGAGACTGTACTTTTTGCTTGGGCCTGGGAGGCTTGCAATAATGCTATCTAATTAAATTTTGTAGCAAAGAGACAGAACAGTCACCAGACTCAAGGAGAAAACACTGTATTTTCCTAAGCCAGAAAATGTTGTCATAATCTGAATTTGGCCAGGAAAAAAAGGTCCAAAAAGTGATTTCATTCAGAAGAAAAAAGAATGCCTAAAAGGGGAAAGTGACTGAATACTGGGAATTGACTCCTGCAAAAGGAATAGGGTACAGCCAGGGAGGGTCACAGCTCCTGCGCTAGAGCAGGCGCGAGTAAACATCTGTATTAGATAAGCAAAGCCTTCCTGTGGTGGAAGAAGTCGCCTATTAGACAAAATCAGCAGCCCTTTATTTTGTTTCATCAGTTTTATTGATCATATATCCAGAATTCATTATATAAATCTTTCAAAATAACTAGATTTTACAAGAATAGTTTATAATTCAGCTCTGACTGCACAAATACTTGACACAGGAAACCATTTTTACAAATACATATGTTTTCTTATAAGAATACTTTAATAAAGAAAATAAGTCTCTATACATCTTACAGCAAATTGTATGCAGTTTTCCCCCCTTTCAATCATCATTTTATGATTTTTTATCACAGTATGTCCATCACATCCAATAAACCAAATTAGAATTTGCCACTGCTTCTCACTTTCAACTATTACTGAGACTCACACTGCTAAGAGTTTTTAGGCTTCTTTTTCTAATCTTTCCTGATCTGAAAGAATTCACAAATGTAGGCTAGAAGAAGTCATTTAAACAAGACTCCTTCTAAATACAACTTGTATCAGCTTAATCACTGTACTTGGTGAACGATCTTTTCATTTTGCACTTAGGCTACGGCAGCAAGTAGATTTACCCCCACTGTATCAAGCAGAAGAGATAAATTCTTGCATTCCTATGTTTCTAAACTGCAAAAATGAAACCCTAGAAACAAGAGTTAAATACCAATATTAAGAAAGCTAAAACATGTGCTATTGATTAGACAACACTTTTAAATTCAAGGTCTCTCCCAGATTGAAGAAGACATAAAAGACATAAAGTATAAGGATAGGGCAGTAGTTTTATAAAATATTGAAAAACTGAAAAAAGGTTAATCACTTAGGTCAGTGGTGCATCATATCCAAGTCCCAGAAGATCCAGACTCTGGCTCACTGAGCTCAATATCTGACATTCGTGTTATGCTGTGGCTTTGAAATAGCTTAATCAGTACTCATTTGCCCATAGCAAGTAATCATTTAAGCCAGGGAACGTCACAGAATACTGACCATGTTTACCTGAAGACACAGGACCCAAAGGGGGAACATTTGGCATGGATTCCATTCCTTCATTGTTACTGAAAAGTGTGTCTACTTGGCAAAGCTCATTTTAACTTTTCAAGTAGCATGAATTAAAACCAAGAGACTAGCAGTATTCTACAGCCATGTTCCTGAGTACTCAGCTCCAATTATCCAATATTCTTAAAAAGATTCTTTAATCAAGCCCTTGTCCAACAGGAGACTTAACAGTACTTGGGGACTACAACATGTCCCATTTCCCCTCTCTTCCATTTCTCCAGACTTCTCTTTCTCACACCAGTGTAACACTTGCTACAGATTTTTACCAAAATACTTCAGCAGTAGTTGGAAATGAATTATTCTACATTACCGAAAGTTTTCAATCACATTATAATGGGTCATATTTGCATAATAACTAGAAGATAGTCAAATGTCTATTGTAGTGATTTTGCAAATTCAGCATAGTCGATGTATCCATCGTTGTTCTTGTCATCGTCTCTTAAAACACCATCTATTAAGTTAATCAGTTCCTCTTCCCTCATTGGTGGTGCCTGATCATTCCCACCCTACAAAATTTAAATTAGACAATGAGTTGGCACATTTTACTGTAAGTGTTTAGCCAATTTCCAAAATGTCCATGCTCATAGATGTCCAAGAACTACTTCAATGTAGCACGTGACTACTTCTAGGAATCCACAAACCATGTATCAGGTGTAGAATCAATTCATAATAATCCAATTTAAAAATCATATTTGCCAGTTAAAAGAAGATACAATCAAAGCAGGCCCTTGCTTATTTATTTTAAAAATTACTTTTCATCCCTTTCTAATTGAAAGGTCATACGTGTTCCCTGTAGATCCGGCTCACACAGACACAAGCCTGCCCTAGAGGAAAGTGCACAGCCCAGGCCCTCCCGAGGGCCAGCTCTGGGCATAGTCTGCTCTGATAAAGAGAGAAACAGTCCAAGTGGACTGAGCAAGAGGAAGGAGGCACTGCCTACCAGTAGAACCTGTTCGGACCTTTGAGGGGAAGGTATTTCTCCTGCTCCAGAGGCTCACTGTGCCAAGTGCTAGCTAATGCTGTTCACATCCTGTGCGGATTCTTCCTTTGGCACCTCTCCCATATCTGACCTTCCTCTCCACCTATCCCACCACCCTAGCCGCCAGGACGCCAAATCTGTTCTTCTCCCTGATGCGAGACTCCTCATGACCCTCAGTTGGCCTCCCACAGCAAAGGATCTTCCCAAACCACTGCTCTAGTCACATCATTCTCCTGTACAGAGCTGTTAGCACTCCCCACAGCCTTCGAAGTAAACCCAAACCTGCTCTCCTGGGCAGCCAATGTGATCACAGCCACCTCCCCAACTTTGCCTCCCCCCACCCTCACTCTATACTGAAGGATGGACAGGCATTAGGTCTGAAGACACAAGATCTCAATTCTAGTTCCCTCCCCTCTAAATCAGGCACTAACGCCTGCCCCTGCCTATCATAGGCTGCTGTGAAGATCAAGATCTCTAACCTACTTGAAAGCACTTTGCAAACTGCTTTGTGTGCAGCACTGTAAAACCCTCAGTTACTGCCGAGGCCCTTGACCCCTTGGTTCCCTGATTCCCCAATCTTCTCCAATAAAATGATTTCTTCCCTGCTCTGCATTTTGAACATGGTCTGTCTTTGGGGCACTGGTTTTCAAACTCTGTGTGCAGTCGAAATGCCTATAGCACTTGTTAAAGACCCAAGGCCCTGGGGCTTCTGCCTCAGCAGGTTACCCTCTGCAAGTAGGACCACTAAATAGAAAAAGAGATGGAACAGAATGGTGAGCAAAAAAACAAGAAGCAACAATACTGTTGCACAAGGACAGCACAGGTCACCAAGACTGGGGACTGAAGTACCAGAGGGAGGCCTTTCTAGGAGGCTACCCAGTATACCGCTGCTTGACCTACCTCCTTATGGACATGAGTGATGGCTGTGGAGAGTTCCAGGCCATCAAGCAGATTGTTGCCATCATAGTCATGCATTTTGAAATAATGGAGCTGCAGTTCTTGTGGGGACATCTCTGCCTCTGGTTTGTTGATGACACCTTCTAAATGTTCCATGATATGCCTAGAAATCAACAGTTAGACTCAGACCACTTGGCAGCGACGGTGGGATCATGCCAAAACCTTAAGGACTCTTAAAAGTTCAAGATCTTAAAATTCATCCATCCCACAAAAACAAACAGAAACAGGGGCAGACCACACTCAATGATGGCAGATACAGGCAAGGTCATGCAAGGAGCACGGAATAAAATCAAACACTGCCACTATTATGCTGGCGAGATTATGGGTGATTTTTCCTCTTTATTACTAGAATGTTTTTATGACATTTTTTGAGGCTATCAATTAAAAAAACTTTTTTTAAAAAAGCAATTCAAGGCTAATAGAGTATAATGTAAAAGGCTAACTGGCCCAAGATAAAAGTTGCAACAAATGATTCAGTGTTTGAATGTGCCAATAAAAAAAGAAAATGGTCTTGCCACAGTCAAGAAAGCTTAGCTCTATTCTGGATTCCACCACTACTACTGCATGTGCATGTGTGTGTGTATCTATCAGTCTGTCTGTGGTGAGAGGCAGAATGAATTCAGGCAAGTCATTTGTCCCATTTGGGCCTCAAGATCCTCCGTTGGTGATACGACGAAGGAATACAGGTGACTATAAGGAATAAATATCATCCTTGAAAAATGTCAAGGAGTACAAACAGTAAAAGGAGAAGAGAACTGAGGGTGCCATCACAGCTGGCTGCAGCTGCAGACAATGGGGGGACCCCGGGCCCACAGCCCTGGCTGCATACGTACTCTTGGTCGTGCACTGTGTGCTTATCCAGGCCCACGCCGCCGGGATGGGAAGAGCCAGCCCCAGGCTGCTCGGCCCTGGTACCTGAGGCACAAAAGGCCCAGAGCAGGCCGCACAGGAAGGGGGTTCTGAGCAGCTGCAGAGATCTCATGGTTGCTGGTACCTGGGAGGTGGCAAACACAGAAGATGAAGGTGAGAACACCAGAGCTAAGGTTCTTTCAAGACTCAACACAGTATGCTCCTGAGAAGCCCAATGAAGGAGCAAGGCTGGGGAAGAGAATATGTTAAACTGGCTCCACAGCCAGCTCTGCACCTAGACCGCTAGACTCTAGGTCCCCATCACTCAAATGGGCAGATCCGTGACATTTCCCAAAGCACCTTCAGAATGCCAAGCAGCTCACTGACAGCTTCAGTGGACTGAAGATTATTCCTGCCTACAAGAAGCTAACAGGTGAAAAAAATACTTCCTCCCAATAGCACTATTAGGGAGAAAAACAGATAAACCCTCTAAGAGTTAACAGAAAGAAATGTCCGCTGGGTGAGGGAAAATCAGAGAAGGCTGATGGACATGGGGAAACTTCAGCTGGGCCTGCATGGATGAGTGTGCTGTGGACGTGCAGGGACTGAAGGACTAAGGGATGGTGCAAGCAGAGTGGCAGGTGCAGACGAGTGGGAAAGAAACTCTAAGTGGTTTAGTCGATCTGGAGCCCAGAGGGTGAGAAGTAGGCAGAACAGTGAACACAGGCTGCAAAGGTTGACCAGAAAGTAGTGAACATGACTTTGCATGGCAGGCCAAGGGGACTGAAGTTTCCTGAGGATAATGGGGAGCCACTGAGGATTCCTGAATGGAAAACGAGATCAGAGCTTGTTTTCAGAATGGCTGATCTGGCAGCACAACAGGGAAGGGATGAGGTGTGTCAGTTCAAGGCCGGCGCAGAGAAGAGGACATTAACCCTCTTTACAGGGCTGTGACAGAGGCAGGTAGCTTAACCACCGTGAAAGAGCAGTGGAAAGGAAAGACACATAGAAATTAGGATTCCCATCAAGTAAGTACTCCCGAAGGCTAGACCTGGAATTGTGGTCGAGAGGAAGACACAGTCAGCTACAGAGCAAGCTCCCTGAGGTCAGGAGTGCTTTGTTCCCATCAGTATTCCCCACCGAGGCTCAGGCAGGGCTTTACTGTTTGTTAAACTGAAAATCCTGGTCCTTCCTGGGACTTAAGGACTGACCTCAAAGAGGAAGGGGAAGGACAGCCAGGAGACCTGCACACCAACACAAAGAAAGCCCTGATTCACACACTTCCAAAAGGGCAGCGCAGATTCTGCTGGATAACAGGAGATTTCTAAGGGGCCAACTGTAGCCACAGCTCCAAACCTATATAGCAGTAAAGAGAAAGCATAGGTACTGGTCACACCCTTCCACATGCTACACAGAGTTCAGCTCCGAGGCTGTGCCATCTCCACAGCCTGTACCTGGGCTAGGAAGTAGATATGTTACAGCCACCTCACCCATCTAAAAGGTAGGACCCTGGAAAATGCTACCCCTGTAACATTTAGGAAAATTTCCCAAATCCACTTTGCCTATCATCAGTATAACCTCCCAGGGTCCCCTCCCTAAGGGGACAATAATAACTGGAATGTATAACTTTTAGGGTGAAAAAGCAGTATCTTATTATTAAAGCTCCTCCCAAGCCTTTCAGACTCACACCTGAGAGGTCTCTTTCTCCAGCCAGCCTCCTTCAATTCCACATCTAGCTTAGGTGTTCTTCCCTTACGCTCCTGAGTGCTTCCCTTCAGAAAGGTCCAGTCCGCTGCTGACAACAGTGGTGAATGTGATCTTGAACAATGTCTGACTACTACTGTCAGTGCCCCTTGCTGGAGTGGAATCTGTGAGGCTGGGGGCTGCATCTACATTCCTAGCATCAAGGACAGGGCCAGGCGCAGAGGTCGACAGTCCTCAGCCTGTGTGCCATGGTCCCTGGGGATGAGGGGAGTCCCACTTTCACAAACATGCCGCCAAGTTTTGATGTCAGTGTAATTGAGCATAAAACTATTTTCTTTTTGAGATATCTATCAGATAGTTGAGCTGAGTGATCACTAAACCCATGGCTCCATTTCCTATAACTACATGGTTGGAAACTTAGTATATCAAACTGGGGAGGGGGGGGTTCTACTCAAAGAACACTACTAAGTGATTGGTAATATAGTAACCATGGGTCCAGATGATCCCTTCTTCAAGGGAGGCAGAAGAAAGGCCAAGAACCATTGATATTGAATGTGTCCCATCTTGGTTTGCTGTTGCAGGTCTCTAACTACAGGCATATCTCAGATTATTGCACTTCACTTTATTGCTTTTTCATCAACATGGAGGCCAGACCTTTCACCAGCAGAATGTGGTAAAAATGTTTAGCATTTTTTGGCAATAAAGTTTTTGGTTTGTTTGTTTTTTTAATCCTCACTTGAGAATATTTTTCCATTGCTTTTCAGAGAGGGTGGAGGAGGGGGAGGGAGAGAGAGAGAAAGAAAGATCAATTTGTTGTGCCACTTATTTATGCATTCATTTGTTGATTCTCGTATGTGCCCTGACTGGAGATCAAATCCACAACTTTGGCTTATCAGGACGACACTCTAACCAACTGAGCTACCCAGCCAGTGCTTTAACTTTTATATACACTGGGAAACCAAAAAATTTGCATGACTCACTTTAGTGCTAACCTCGCTTTATTGCGGCGGTCAGGAACTAAACATGTAATACCTACAAGGTATGCCTACATCAGAACAACAAAAACCACATCTACGGATACAAAGGAGAAACTCTACCTCCAAGTGTGGCAATGAAAACAGGGAATCTGACTGCCACCTAACACTTTAAACTGTCACATTCAAAAAGAAACATAAGCAACTCCCTTCAGCCCCATGAACAAGTTGCATCATCCACACTCTAAACCACTTAGGCCAAGGCCATGAGCAAACAGCCAGGCAGATAAACCCCAGGCCTTCATTGAGAAACGTGAAGGCCAGGTTGGAGAAAAATCCAAAGGAAGAGAGATTTCTGAGAGACTTCAGAATATAACCCATGCTTTGAGACATCCTTCACAGGGAGAAGCCTCAGTCCTGGGAGTGAAGCACCCAACCACCGTCAGTAGTGAGCCTCAGGCAGTGCTGGGGCGGTAACAGGGTTCCCCTCACTGTGCCAGCACCCTCCTCCAGTCCCAGAGCATTTGCTCCCACTGGTGTCATCCATCTGTCCTCCCTCTTCCTTCCAGGCCCAGTTCAAACTTCATCTCTGGAGTCTTCCAGCCAAGATCAATTGTTCTCTCCTCTAACCTCAGTCTGCAGCCTCTCACACTCATTTGGCCTTAACATACGATCACATACTGTTCTTTTGTTTTTCTCCTTTCCTCCCTCTCTACGGACTGTGCTGAGCTGACCCACAGATAGCAGACCTTCACGTCTGAATAAGAGCAGTGCGTCTTGGCCCTAGGTTATGTCTTGGCCTAAGCTGGGAAAATAACTCCCCTTTGGAGCCCTCCCACCAGTGACTTGGCCTGGCCTACCAGTCCCTCCCATTATGTAGTTTGTCCTATCAGCACAGAAGAGTTTGGGGCCAGCCTTCCTCCCATAGAGACCACAGCAGCTGCTAGCAACCTTTCTCTCACGCCAAGGGCCCTCAGTGAAGAATTCAAACTCAAAGCAGCCATACTCACCAACACCCAGACATCCTGTACCCAGAGCCAATGCCGAAGAAAAACTCTGATCAGTACTTCCCCATTTAAAACTTCCATGGGCCTAAACTGAAAACGAGAAAATAACCAAGTTTCTAGGCCAAAGAAACCTCTATATGGGTTGGGGTTTGAGAATAGATCCTGAAAGAACAGGCATTTGATAGCTGGATCGACTGGTTCACTTGGGGAGCCCAAGGAGCAGCCACGCTTCATTTATACATTTAACTAACATACTCTACTCACAGCCTGATGCTGCCCCAGGCACTGAGGACGGGACCATGGCCGCGACAACCTCCACTCACACCAGGACGGCACACAGCCTACACCTGCGAACCCCGCGCACACCCGGAGTAATTCCTTAAGGATGGGGAGGACTTTTTCAGCCAAAGAAAGCACTTCAGGCGGAGGGAACATGATGTAACAGACCTTTAGGCCTAGAAGGAACTGTACAAAGGGTTCAATATGGTTGAAGGCACAGTAGAGCGCAGACTGATGAGTTAGAGTAAAAAGCGGGCAGCACATGAGGGGGCTTGTGAGCCCTGCTAGACAGGCTGGAAGAGCCATGAAAATCCGCGGGAAGGCCGGGAAGGTCATGGTGCGGTGACCATCACTCCCGCCTTCCAGTACAGAACAAGCCCCGGAGGGTCGACGGAGGCCCGCGGGGCCCAGGGGAGAGCCGGC